ACTATGCCTGGTTAATTTTTTTTTTTAAGACAGATTGAGCCTTTTGTTGCCCAGGCTGGAGTGCAAGCACAATCTCTACTCACTGCAACCTTCGCCTCCAGGATTCAGGCAATTCTCCTGCCTCAGCCTCCCAAGTAGCTGGGATTACAGGCACCTGCCACCATGCCGAGCTAATTTTTGTATTTTAGTAGAGACATGATTTTGCCATGTTGGCCAGGCTAGTCTTGAACTCCTGACCTCAAATGATCCACCAGCCTCAGCCTCCCAAAGTCCTGAGATTACAGGCATGAGCCACTATGCCTGGCCACGCCTGGTTAATTTTTTATTGTTTGTAGAGACAAGAGTCTCACTATGTTGCCTAGGCTGCCCTCAAACTCCTAGGTTCAAGCAATCCTCAACTTCCCAACGTGCTGTCATTACACATGTGAGCCACCACACCTGGCCAAAAGAAGTGACTTTAAAGCAGAGTCTTGAAGACATAGCAGGATTTCAGGAAAAAGAAATAGCAAATGTAAATAATTGAAGTATATAATTGATTGGCTGGTGTTTAGTGGACCCGCACATACTTCATTGTTGCTGGAACCTAAAGTTCCAAGCAGGAAGTGGAAGGTCATGAGGCAAGAGAGAGAGACAGAGGCCAGTTTATAAATGGCCATAGAGGATGTACTTCTAAGGAGTTTGATGTTTATCCTACAGGCCATAGAAAACCAATGAAGGACTTTAGGAGCAAGGTAATGTGCCCTTACTTGCATTTTGAAAGGTTTATTCTTTCTCAGGCTACAGCAGCATTGATGCAAATGAGGGGACAGCTTTGAGAGTTATTAGGACACGCCTGGACTTCTTTTAACAAAAGTAAAATGACAGGGTCATCATTCTTTATATAAATTATTGATTTCAAAAATATCTATTGGCCAGGTGCAGTGGCTCATGCCTGTAACCCCAGCACTTTGGGAGGCCAAGGCAGACAGATCACTTGAGCTCAGGAGTTTGAGATCAACCTGGGCAACACAGGGAGACCCCATCTCCACAAAAAAAAATACAAAAATTAGCCAGACATGGGGGTACGTGGTTATAGTCCCAGCTACTTGGGAGGCTGAGATGGGAGGACTGGCAGATTTGAGAGGCCAAGACTGTAGTGAGCCATGATTGAGCCACTGCACTCCACCTGGGTGACAGAGTGAGACGGACAGAAGGGAAGGGGAGGGAAAGGGAGGGGAGGGGAGAAAGAAAGAGAGAAAGAGAAGGAAGGAAGGAAGGAAGGAAGGGAGGGAGGGAGGAAGGGAGGGAGGGAGGGAGAAAAGAAAAGAAAAGAAAGAAAGAAAATATTGTAAACATTCCCTCCACACTTGTAAATCATAGAACATGATTTAGAACTTTCATATCGCACTTCGAGTATCTTTAATGTTTTTGTTTTCAACCCACAACACAGCCAGTTGAGAAAATCTATTAGATTTCCATCTTCAAAAACTTAATCCTTAATAAGGAAGTTGTGTGTTTTTTTAGCCTCAATAATGCACTGGTAAATGCTGAACAACCAGCTCTTCCAGAGAAGGAAATCCTGATTTGTAGTGTTTGCCAATTTCTATAGTGTAAATACTCCTGTAATGGCTGTTTTCAAGCTACTAATGTGACATCACTGAGCAGGAGTTGAGAAGACATGCAGTATTACATTATTAGATAGAATTTCCATGGTACGGACACAATAGATATGAACAACTCAAGGGCACAGAGAGTAACATGCAGTAAAATAATTAGAAAATGGTGAGTTCTAAGTACATATTACCTTTGTTTTTAATATAATATACTTGATTATAAGTCTACATAATTTAATTTTTAGTAATAATTGTATTTAATAACCACCAAAATT